AACATTCGCTCTTCAGTATTCCATTTGGGGAAAAACGGGGAGCCTCTTTATACTAGTATTCAGGCCTTCCCTAATTTTAAAATGGTGATTTATACCTACGAAAATCAGGATGAGTTAGAAATCAAAGGAGACTGTATGGAATCCCGTGAAAATTGGTTGATCCCTACCAATCTCAAAGTGCCCTCAAAATTCAATTTAAACTGCGGGAAAAATATTTCTTGGATGGTGGATCTTTCACTGCATAAAATGTCAAATTTTACATTTAACTCTGGAATATTATCGGCGCACCGATTTTTCCTAAAAAATGAAGGAAAATTAGGACTCATTGGAAGTTCAGGGACCTCTCAAACCTACTTTATTGAATGTGGCTCCCTCCTTTTAAATTCGGGCGGGGGGAATTCCGTCGCACCCGACCAAATCATTCTTAGTAGAAGCAATGAGTGCAAAGAGGCCCTGGATGCCACCATTATTTTGAATAACTACACTAAAATAGTAAACACGGAAAACTCCTCCGATTCAGAATTTCATTACATTCTTAACAAACACACGCTTATTAGTGGACTTAGCGTGGAAATTTTCCAGAATTCCACCTCCACCCACATTTTCACTTTTGAATTTGATAGCGACTTATTTCAAAATGTTCTTTGGACCGATTCCTCCCAAACCTTGAAGATTTCATTCAAATCAGCCGGATCCTTCGAAATTTCTGGATTTTCTTTACATTCCACCATTAATACAGAAGATGGAGTGCAACTCGCCCTAAACGGAAAAGAGCCCTCTCTCTTCCATTCACTTTCAACCATCGGAAACAGGAAAATCAAATGCCATCCCTACTTAACAAATATATTCCTAATTTCCAAGGTTTCAAAAGAAACCGAAAAAATTGTAGCTTGCTCAACAAATGACACATTTCTCATTCTCGATCCCCCAGAGGACAAACCCCTCCCTCTATTATCCGGGGGAACTTTGGACCTTTCCCAATCTTCCAGTCCTGAAGCCCAAATTCAACTAAATGCGGGTATTGGTGTCACCAATTTTGGCCCCACCTCAGAATTCGGCTATGCCTTTAAAAACTTGGAGCAGATTGTTGGAAGCGCAGAAAACCTGGAAACCATTGAAATAACGGGGCAGACTACGCCCATCTATTTAAATTTGGGCGGTGGAGGAGACTCCATATCAATTAAGGATTCCGCCCTTGGCGTCACGATCTTATTAAATTTAAATACAACAATTTCTATTGTAAATACCTCCGTCAATTTTGACCTTAACCCTCTACCCTTTCTAAGGGACGAGGAACAAGACATGTTTGACTTCTACTTTACGTGCTGCGATGAATCCGCCTGCACCGAGCACCTGCACAATATAAAGTTAAACACGGTGTCACTCCGGGATATTCAATTCCTCTTCCGCTACGACAGCACGGTCGAGGTCATTCATCATTCGAAAATATTTTCCTTTCATTTAGCCCGTGGATTATCAGATGGCCCCGATAAGTTTAATGTGTCGCTATCATCACTCTCCGTGGAGACGGAGGACGGCTACCTAATTATGCAGAATCGCCTCGGAACTTCCATCATTCTAAAGTATATTCCCGAAGAAGAATGCACAATACCAGACATTCTTGACGAGAATACGGAATACTCTTTAAAAATGGGAGGAATCTTAATGCTCTCCTGTCAAGAAGGGGATGATAAAATCCAAAAAGTTCTAATCTTTGGGGGAGATGAGACCATAAACTATCTGGAAAGCTTGGGTGGAATTACAACCCACTTAATCGCCACGAATGAATATGCCACCCAAAATGTCTTCATTATCCTCAAATCGTCTCAGATTACGCACATCTATATCAAAGAAATGAAAGATTTAGGAGAAAATATTTTGGATTTAAGTGAATTCTACGATCCAGATTCAAACTCATGTGCGGAGTTGGAACTCCCTACTGTTTCATTGAGTGGAGAAAACCTTAAGATAGAGATTAATGACCTTTCTACTATTTTTGTTGTCAATGGTCCAAACCTATTTGACCAATTACAAGTCGCGGTTTGGAATTGTCGATACAATCTGTCCAAAAAAACAGAAATAAATTGGGAGCTGGTTCGACGAGATTTGAAAATCCAAGAGGGAAAGCAACTCGTTGTTTTGACACCTTTGGACCTGGATAACCAAACCGTAGTGTCATTACCTAAGGGGGAAGTAACCCTTTACAAGTCGGGAACGAAGGATATCATTGTCACAGATGTTTTGGCGGGGGGAGAATTTACCCTAATTATTGAGGGGAAAGACGAAGTTGAGAACTCATCAGAACTTTTGTTCACACTCAGAATGCTGGATGGGAAAATGGTTGAAATATTGGAGAAGGAAATTTCCAACCTTCCAGATATAGCTGAGGCCATGACAGGATTTTACCTTCAGGTGGGCTTCATTTCATTGGCCTCGATTATAATAGTGCGTGCATTGAGTTTCCCGATAGCTTTGGTGACAATGAAGAAAGTTCAAGAGTTCAGGGGGAAAAGGGTCGTTAAAAATAAGGGAAATGTTAGACACATTTATACCGCGGTTGATTATGGGGTAAATCGAAATTAAGCTCAAATTAAATGTTAATCGTTAAAAACAGTGTTTATTAGATACAAGAAAACAGTTCCGTTCCAACAAGAGTTTCTTTCTTAAATTATTTAATGTGTCTCAATAATTCTGTTCAATTTTGTAATTTATTTCAATGGCTTGAAGACAAAAATATAATTGGCATTTTTTAAGAAGTTTAATAGTTCAATCTCCTAACGATACACTCTTTAAAATAAAGTTTATATCCTTGGTGGAAATCTATGGCTTTGAGGCATTCATATTTTCGTCGATCGCCATCAATGTCACGTATGTATTTCTTCCCAGCTACATATTTCTTGGCTTTGAATTTATATTTCGAACGAATGTCGTTTTTACTTCTGCATGCGTGGAACTTTACACCTTTGACACTTTCCGGGTCAACGTGACAGACTATTTAATTGTTTATCTTTTATAGGACTGTCGAGTTCCCCTTGTCGAGCTGAGAAAAACGATGTGTTACATGACATAGTTTAGTTAAAAGCGAAAAGTCGCTGAAGACCACACCCACTAGGGGTTCGGTTTTAAAATTTTAGTTAGTCAGTCCAAATCTCCTCATCGCGCAGAGAAGAATGATATATCACACGACATGGTTTCCTTTAAATCTAAACGCCGCCGAGGACCACGCCCACTGGGGGTGTGGTTTTAAAATTTTAAGTATCAAGTTGTAATGTCCTCATTGTCCTGAGAAAAATGATGTATCACATCATTTCTTCATCATCATAATTGTGAATTCACTTTATTTTACAAATTTGCCTACACCATTTAATCCAATTATTTTGAACGTGATACCCAATGATCTAAATATGTACTGATTATCATCACGGATACATATGTACACACATGTCATCCTTCATCAACCCATATTCACCGTTGTGCGCTGGAATTCCATACATGTTTTGCAGTGTTATAAATTTTTCCTAATTCTATATTTAATTAATGTATTTCCACTTCAGAACACATGCTGAGATTGACCTCGTATGACTTGTGGTCTTATTTTACTTAAAGAGGCCAAATTATCCTTCACCACAAGTATTTATGTTATGTAGATAAATATTCGTCTAGACCGCTGTTTTGTTAAACTTTAGCGTCTGCGGTAGTGTAGTATTTATATTTGACGCATTGGCGGCGGAAGTTGCGGGGACATTGGACAGGAGGAGGAAGGGACTTGCCACATAACATGGCCGAGATAGGATTTTACTGAATTTCTGGGAGGACAATGTCCCCCTGCTTCCCTTCCGCCGCCACTGCTGACATGGTAGCCACATCGTTTGCAACTTGCAATTAAATTGCAAGACGGGGAAAGAATACTGGGACATGTGTACATACATAAATACGCACACTCTTAAAAACAATGTTACCCTTTTCTAAAGTAAATAAATAAATATACATAATTTGAATTACAAATTACTTATGTATGTAAACGATGCATACAAAATCCAAGGTAAATTTTACTGTGTCAACGTTATGTACTGTGGATTTTGTACAGTTTGCTTAATTTATAATTCAGCGTGCAAGAGTTACTGTTCAAAAGGGTAACACTATTTTTATGAGTGTATTTACTTATGTAAATACATATGTAACCACAGAACGTGACTGGAAACAGACAGGAAATTAAATTAATTTTATTTACATACATATTTAATTTCTTTACGGAAATTCGAATGGATCTTGGATCGCACGGGAAGGTCGTGAGGGAGACAAAAAACGGGAAGTAAACACGGAAGTGAGGTCAGGTAGGACCAAAAAAATCTTTGTGCGTTCTGGGGTGTGAAATCGACCTACACTCTCAATAATTTTTTGACGATATTGTTACCGGCGGAGGTACTATGTGATTCTACCGCTCGGGTAATAATTTATCACCAAAGGGTGGCATATATAAAGAGGCTAAATCCTGCTCAGCGCCCAATGTCAACGCTCAGGTAATAAAAATGTTACCCATACCGGAGGCAATTTCTTACCCTCAGAAGACAATTTGTTACTATAGTGTTACCACGCGGTAGAGTCGCATAGTACCTCCGCCGGTAACAATTTTGTCAAAAAATTATTGAGAGTGTACATATTTAAGTGTGTATGTGTTTACGTAAGTGCATACATTATCGGATAGCGTTTTGTCCTTCACTCAAGGGTGGGATGGGTTACTTTTTGCAAATTTTTGCACATTTATATTTATTTGCATGGAACTAATTGTTTTTGCAAAATGTGGTATTATATTTAACATGATGTACATACATATCATGCATTCGGTCAGGTTGCTTAGTATGTATGTACTTATGTAAATATTGCTCACTCAATATTTACTATTTACCAGAAAATATGTAATGCGTTCTGTCCTTTGATTTAACAATTATGTAAGACGAGATTTACTCGCATACATTGATGAGTTGATCACGCTGTGATTGATTATTTACAAAATGTTCAGATTTAGCAAAATATATAATCACTTGATTTTAAAAAATTAACACTTCATTTCAATAAATATCTTTGCTTAATTCATAAAAAAATTAAATCCCCTTCATACTTTTTGTGCAGCAAAGTGCAAAAAAAAACTTGGCAAATAGGAGAGTCTTCATTTTTTATGTGATTTATTTCCCTTTCCCTGTAATTCCGTATGGGTTGTTGTTTACATACATATTCAACGCAATTAGAAACATACTTAAGACCATGGGTCAATTTTTTATTATTATTTATTAAGGTAAATTCCTCCACATTGTGTGTTGGGTATGCACAGAAGGAAAAGTAAAGTACGAAAAAAAATCAACACATACGTGACACGCAAACTACGTCGTCTAGCCAGGAAGGAAGCAATGTTGCAGTCGGGACGGACGTGTGTGTCTTGTCTTCATGGAAATAATGAATAAGGAAAATTATTGACATTGTGCACAGATGAATGGGTGAATTGCGTGACTTTCTTTTCGACACTGGAGTTGAGACGAGCTGGTAAAAAATTTAGGGCAAAGCGATATTCCAAGGTTTCAATTCTTATACACACTAAGGGCTGCACCAGTAAAAGGGAATTTTATTGGGTTTCGGCATGAAATTTTGTACCAGTAGGGGTAACGTTTTTGTATGATATAAATACGTACAGGTCACGTTTTTAGTACAGTTTTTTCGTTTTTGAGAACGGTGGTTGGGTTGTTTTTTCTTAACAAAGTTATTTATTTACTTGTGACACCCTAGGTAGCAAATGTGATAATAAATAATTTAAGTATACCGGATTTTAAGCAATGGTGATAAATTATCACGGTTGGGTAATAAGTTCCCACTAGGTGATGTGGCCCACATGCAGAGGTGCACACATGATTAATTAATCTCAATTAATGGATTAAGAATTAATTAATTAGTAATCTTGCAAAATATTTGATGTAACTAATAGTTAATCCATGTGAAAATTTTTAATGGAATTAAGTAAGGTAAAAAAATTATTATCCCCAACTTTATCAATCCATACTCGATTAGAGTATCCTGGTAGAATTAGAGGTTTAAATTATTTTAACGGTCACCAGATTTCTTAGAGTGTACCGATTTTATAGCCAAAACACAACCTCGTGTCGGGATTACATATGTAAATATGTAGGATTCTTTATCCGTAACTTTTTAGTGGTGCACCCTCTGTATTTTACTGCTTTAAATTACTCAACGTCTAATAAGTGCGTACAAGCCCGTGCAAATGAATACTTAAAATAGCTAAGGTAAGTTGAAGTCGATAATTACACTTCCATGTTTACCTCTAAATTCGGCTGGGATTTTTATTTGTCCACAGACACACGAAAAAATCGTCGTTTTGAATTTCGCGAGCATGGCAAAAATTATGAAAATTGGAGAATTTTGTTACAACTGGAGCTAACCGACATTAATCCCACGGCTTAATGTTTTGACATAACTCGCTAGTGGATCCCGGTGTAGCTTGAAAAAAGGTTCAATTGTGAGTTGAGTTCCGGTTCAGCAGAGCTCGTTTATCAATAAGTTAGCGAAAAACTGAGAAATATGAAGCCACAATTTGTTCATGTGTCTGACGACCCTATAATACCTTAGAAAACCTGAAAAGAGTCAATATTGTGATAAACTTCAACCAAAGAGTTTGCCTCCTTTCCACGCGTCTGGCAAGTTTCCGGAACTACTTCCGCCATGACGCAAATCAGGAAACACCTATTAACCAAAGAGGTTCAAGACAAATTTATGAAAATTTCTGAAAATTTAACCTTAATCAATAATATGGCATTGGTCAAACAAATTTATCTCGATGCGACGGGAATGGGTAAGTTTTTTATTTTAAGTCTTTTGAACTCTTTAAAACCAATTTATAAGAAATCGATTAATTTGGGAGGAAGTCTTGCTAAAAATTTGTCGCCATTATTCCACGGGAAGAAGACAATTGTCCAAAGAAGCATTTAAACGAAAATTCAGAGTTTAATATTCAACTTAATGACGAAGTTCCTGGAATTCTGCGAGCGAAGTTGGACAGTCGCTTCAAGTCGGCAAAGACGCATCAGCTTTGGATCGAATACAACTCTACTTTGCAAAACCACCACGCTATTACTGGCTACTACTGTGACTGCTGGGCCGGGGCGAGAACAGTGGGGATGTGCGCTCATGTCACTTGTGTAAGTAACATTTTTTATATAAATCATACATATTATGTGGTGTATGCACAAAATAATTCGCAGGTAATTTGGTTCGTCGGATACAAACGTCATCAAGCTGAGAATATACACGTTAGAAAACCAAGGGTGTTGGAGTTTTTGGACGCAGCGGATGTCAATCGAAGGTCACGTCAATCTGCTCCTGGTCCGTCGACGTCCTTGGCCGAGAGAATGGTTCAAGAGTCTCAAGATAGTTCTGATACTCAAAATTCGCCGCCAAATATCATGATGCTACGAAGCCACCAACCTCAACAGTTTTAAAAATGTTCAAACACAACGTGCAGTTCCAATTTAATCGAGTCAAGACAAGTGTCTGGGGTAAAGTGCGCTTTATATGGTCCTCACTTTAGCACCCCCAGACACTTGGTTATTAGGCTCTGGTAATTAATGAATCTGCCAGGAGTTGACCATGAGTTTGTCTCAGAAGTCGACTTTTGGCAGATTATATTAATTGCCGGAGTCCAAACCTTTGTCACTTTTATGATTATCATTATCCTATCATGCAATGCATTAGTACCGTTTTGGACGCACCTTCAATGCGGTACTTGTGCATTTCGTGGCAGTATAGTGATAATAATTGTAAAGGTGACACTGGTAGTTCCTTACCTTTGTTAATTTTAATATTGTTATTACTTTTTCACGCAATTGTGAAGTACCCGATTTGAAGGTGCATCAAAAACTGTACTAAAACATTGCAGGATTAAGTAGTGAGAATATGTAAAGTTAACATTGGTCAATGGTGTGAGTCATCCTAGCTTGCAGTTTACAAATTACTAATTCCAATTAGCTATTCAACTGTCGTAGTGAAACTGGCATTTAATTAGACTCCAATTATTTTCTCGTCATTAGTGTTAATTACTATTTAGTTGGATGAGATTTGACAATCAAAGTTAATGTGGTATTATACTTAGTAAATTGAAAAAATATTAAATTATAATGGTCATGATCAAATGATAACTACAAGACTTTTGATGACTCACACTCATAAAAATGGGGGTGCTAAAGTGAGGATCATAAGCGCCACACAATACTAATATTTTATTGGAATATTAGTTTTCAAACTATTTGTGGGTTTAATAAATAATGTAATAATTTGTGTTCTCCGGTTTTGTGTCATGTTGTAATAAACCATTCTCCTATTTCCACAATTCATAATGTTCCTTGTGTCTTTGTTTTATATATAATTAAGCTAATTAATAATTAAGTGAATTACTAAAATATATGCTCCTTAAATTGCATCATTTCATCATCACAAACGGCATGATAATGGATTTATTTATAAAAATGCATGAGAAATTAGCTTGCGCATTTAATTATTTAAACTGCCAATCACCAAGTTACGACACTTAACTACTCGAAAAATAGCGTAAATAAAGGGGCCGGGGATTTTGGCTCGAAATCGTCTCTAAGGGGCCGAAAAAAGGGGGAAGTTCGGAGGTGTCCTTTAAATTTGAGTTGAACATGCACTCAAAACGCCACGATCGCCACAACCGAAGACACGAGATTCATGGAAATGTAAAAATAAAGGTGTATCTATTTCGGTGTGGGTGAAATTAAAAATTGGAGAAAACAACTTTCAGTCGCTGAACGACACTGGGGGCGTGGTTTCAAAAATCACGTACTTCTATCGAGATCCGCTCGCCGAGCTGAGAAACATGACATAACAAATTCCATTGTTTTATTAAAATTGAAATTTGCGTAGAACCACGCCCGCTGTAGGTGCGGTTTCCCAATTTTAGGTATTTCGTCGAAACCCCCTTGTCGAGCTGAGAAAAATGATATATCACCTAACATGGTTTCGTTAAAATCGAAAAGTCGCCGAGGGTCACACCCACTGGGGGTGTGGCATGTGGCCATTTGAACATTGCTGGTAGTGCCCACATTGTAGACATGCAGTTCGATTTTTAGTCTACGGTATTCATAAATTATATTGTTCAATTTCTTTGACCTTGAGACGACCTTTTAATTTCGAGGGGGTGTGGTTTTTGTGTTCGTGTTTTTCACGTACGTGTGCGTGTTTTGCATCCTAATCCCCCTATGTAGTTAAGAAGAATGACATGTCGCATGCCTGGGTTAACTTAGACGAAAAAAGGCGTTGATGGCCACACCCTCTAGGGGAGTGCCAAGTTCGATACTCTATTAGCCCATACTTTACTTCATAGTTGTACGGAAAGAATTATTTTTATGCCTTTAAGTGAGGCCTATATATATTTTTGGCCAGAATTCATAAAATCTGGCCCACAGTGCAATAGCCACACCCCGTGGAGATGTGATTGTTAAATTTATCGTTCTCCATAATAATCTCCTTATATAACCAAGAAGAATGATGTGTCGCATGCCTATGTTTACCTAGAATAAAAATGCTAATGATGGCCACACCCCCTTGAGGGTGTGCTTCTGACTATCAAAGTACGTCCCTGTGACTGCCAGACACTCCTCAGGCATGTCGCTTGCCTGAGAATACTCTGAGTTGGTTAAAATATATCAATTTAGCTCGAATTTGATTTCTTGATTTCAACAACTTGGAGTGGGTGTGGTCAGAGCAGGTTTTGGTTACCGCAGCTATACGCAGCAGGGAATACTTACCATACTACTGGTTACCGAATGACATCAATAGAGAGTCAATTAAGCCCGGAGATGGGCGGAGATGCTAGTTGATATATTTCCCCTATCTCCGTAATGTATTTGAAAAAGTTTGCCCCCTTGGTTCTCCTGAGTGGGTGTAACCTTTGGCTTAATATTATTCACGGAGGACCAGCTGGTTATGTAGTACACAATGGTATATGAGAATAGCCAATTCAAGATACTGCCTTAATGGCCACATTTTTGGATACCTGGCCCATAGCGAAACGGTGCAATGCGAAATCGATGGACAACTGTTAGCTTATATTACCTGCGCACATAGAATTTGCAATTGAATTATTTAATATGAAATAAATAAGTGTTGACAAAATCCACCACGTCACATTGGGCGTCGCAACAGCCAAACTGACCCCGCCATCGCGTTCTACGTCAAAAATAGTTTAAACTGATCTTATAAACATTCAAACTGCGTAGGTCGATTTTTCGAGGGTTTGGAGCGGTTTGAGCGCATCTAGCGCGCGTTTGGAGCGGTTTGAGCGCTTCTAGCACGCGTTGTGCGTCAGCTACAGCCAAAGTGACCCCGCCATCGTGTTCCACGTCAAAAAATAGCTGAAGTTAGCCTTAGAATCATTTATAAAGCGTAATTTGTGTTTTGACGCGTTTTGAGCGCCTCTAGCGCGCCTTGTGCGCTAGTAATCGAAAACTGACCCCTCCATCGTGTTCTACGCTAAAAAACACTGTGGAAAAACGAAAAAAGTAATTGGCCGGAAAATGTATCCTTGTACGGTAATCTCCTTTGTGTTTTGTTCGACTGTCACAACTAACTATGATTCAATTTTGTACAATATTTATTGGAGCTAATATATGTATGTGTAGCAAGTTTTCACATAAAACACTAAAAGAATCTATTTATTGTACAACTTCATATGTAACTGTTAATTTTCTTATTGAGTTAGTCCTGCATCTTTAGCCATACTGTAGAAGATTGTGGTTTTATCGTTCATCAAATTCTCGGGGGCGTCAAACTCAACAATTTGACCTTTATCCAACACGACAATTCTAAAACCGAAAGCATTCAATCGAAAAATTTACTATCAAATTAAAACAATTTACATATCTTCAACAAAAGTAATTAAATATCTACTTAAATAGTTAATTATGTAATACCTTGTCGAATCCATTATAGTATTTAATCTGTGAGCTATCGTTATCACAGTAGATTCTGCAAATTCCTCTCTTATTGTTTTCTGGATTAAGTCGTCCGTCTCCAAATCAACGGCGGCCGTTGCTAATTTCAAATAAATTGGTTTAGCACAACAAAATCTAAATTCGAGACCATTGCTCACTTCGGAAGTAAATATGTAAAATGGACAGAATTTCTACGCGCCAAAATCACGTGTTTATTTGACTCACATTGAGGGAAGGGTATTCTACCCTGGGTTTTTGGGGTGCTCGGTTTTTTCGGGTTTTGGTGGGATTTTTGCGTGGCAAAATTTGAGCAATACCCTCGGATAGTTTGGGTTTTCTAATTTTGTAAAGTTTGGTAACAGAGCTTAACTATAGCAATTCTACAATTAAATAAGTTACTAAATTTGAATAAGTCATTTGCTGTGAAATTGCTGAAAAAACAGATCATTTTTAATACATGAAACACTGACTCAGTGTACCCCGAAAACCCCGATTACCCCGACTACCCAAAAAACCCTGGTAAAACCATAGGTATTGGTTTTCAATAGCACACCCCCGGGGTTTTCCTTTTCCTTATTGTGGGCGAGCGGAAATTAAATTAAATCTGTCCCAATTACTTCCGAAATCTTTAATTGGTTACCTTCGTCCAACACGAGGATTTTAGTCTTCCTCAAAAGTGCCCTAGCCAGACAAACCAGCTGTCTCTGACCCATACTGAAATTCTGGCCTTCTTCCGCCACCTCATACTCCAACCCTTGGGGCAAACTGGCCACATAACTTTTCAAATGCGCAGACTCCAAACAGTCCCAAATCTCAAGGTCCGTATGAGAAGAGAACGGGTCCAAATTTGTGCGCAGAATACCCGAAAATAAGACGGGATCTTGGGGAATTATGGTTATTTTTTTACGCAGATCATGCAACCCGATTTCCGCGATGTCTTGATCGTCAATAAAGATTTTTCCGGAAGTTGGTTCAATCAAACGGAAGAGGGCAAGTGTTAAAGACGATTTTCCCGCGCCTGTTCGCCCAACTAGAAGCAAAGTGACAAAAAATAATAAATTTTGAACTCTCCCGCCAAACCTTTTTGTACAAGGTAGTTTAAAGGTCAGGTTACACTGGAAAATTTTCAATGGGAAAAATTCGTAAATTTTCCTTTTGTTACGGATTTGGAAATGAGATTTTTATTAATTTTTATCAAAACTTCTGGAACACTGATGACAAAATTCTTAAAATATTGAATTTTAGAGGCAAAATTTCGGTAACTAATGGAGATTTGCGATTTTTCCCCTTGAAAAATTTTCCATTGTAACCTGACATTTAAACCACCCTGTATATGGTTATTTACCAATCCCAATTCGTTCCCCAGGTTTAAAGGTGCAACTGATCCCTCTAAGAACCAGGTCGAGACCTTCCCTGTACCGCGTTTCATACCTTGAAAATTCCACTTTCCCCTCACTCGGCCATTCTTTCGCAGGTTTTAGCCCAGTTTCCCACGGGGCCTCTTGTGGTGTCGAATTCAACTCCGAAATCCTTTCCACGGCAACAATATTTGTTTCCAAGTCGGAAGCAGTTCGCACCAGAAAGTTTAGCAGCGCCGTGATTTGAAGGGCGGAGCTTATCGAAAGGCCGACAATCTCGGGATCGATGGACTCTCTTGAGGCGACGGCAAACATTGCGGCGGCAAATATGATTAAACTTCCGATGGCTTCGAGCCTTGTGGCTATCCATCTAAACAGGTATTCATTACATGTTTAAAAAATATGTATTCATTCAAAATTCATTCATTCAAAGGCTTGAAAAAAATATATTCATTCCTTATTCATTCGTGCATAATTTGTAAAAAAAAATATTCATTAGTTATTCAAGATTTATTTATTTATCATCTACAATTATCCATTATCCATTATCCATTATCTTCAAAATTCTCAGTCTTATTCCTTACATGAATTTCTCAACTTTCCCTATGTATACATAGGGAAAGTAATATACATATTAAGCATTGAGTTAAAAATGAATGATGAAATAAATATTCTTCCATTATTCATTCACACGAATTGAATAAATATTAATAATGAATATTGAATGAATATTGAATATTGAATATCAATATTCATTTAGTCAAAAATCAGAAAAAAATATTCATACATTATTCATTCTAATTTTGAATATTGAATGAATACTTAATTTATTCATCATTCATTAAATGAATGTGAACATGTATGATTACTGATATCAATACTTCACTAATCAATCGCTAATTGATACAATTAAATTATTACTTACAAATTTGAAGCAATGAATGGATAATAGGCTTGTTGGTTGTCATCAATCTTTTTATCGCTCTCCACTATAAAATCGTCTTGCAGCCCAAATGCCC